CAACCAAACACCCGAAGGTTAGACAGATCAAGAGGCTTACCGGTAAAGACGGCTTCAGGACACTTACCACCAAGAGGGACAGACGGGGACCTATTAACCAAATAGGCAGCAGTAGTGACTGCTTCACCCCAGAATTTCTTAGACAAACCAGAGGTAGCTAACATGCTTCTAACCTTATCCAACAGAGACCTATTCATTCTCTCTGCTATCCCATTCTGTTGGGGAGTATAAGGCACAGTTTTGTGCCTTTTTATCCCACAATCCACACACAGCTTATCCATCTCCTTATTACAGAACTCTAACCCGTTATCGGTCCTAAGGGTTTTAACCTTCCTGCCAGTTTGGTTTTCAACTAGGGTTTTCCACTCCCTAAACCTCACAAACACATCAGACTTGTGTTCTAAAAGGCAAACCCACACCTTTCTAGAGAAGTCATCAATAATAGAAAGGAAATATTTCCTACCCCCGTGGGTAGGAACACTGGCAGGACCCCAAACATCGGCATGAACATATTCAAGCACAGACGAACACTTAGACAGATTAGGGTAAGAGGAAGGAGGGAAGCTGACTCTATGCTGCTTGCCTAACACACAAGATTCACAGAAAGGCACAGAAGTCACAGAGTCCTTACCAAAATAACCAGCCCTACGCATGACATCTAAACCCTTATTGCTCATATGTCCTAGCCTATTATGCCACAAAGAGGTCTTATCAGAACATACAACATTCACAGACTCAGCAAAAGGTTTAGCATGACACACATAAAGGTTATTCACCTTCTCAGCTTTAAACAAAACAAGCGAGTTTTTCAGGATTTTCATACAACCATTCCCCCATTTTCCCTGTAACCCACTACTCTCCAAAGCAGCAACAGATAACAAGTTATGACACAAATCAGGGACATGCCTCACATTCTTAATGGTAAACACAGAGCCACAAGAAAATTTCAGACATATATCACCAACACCAAGCACATTGCATCTCTTATTATCAGCTAAGGAAACGTAGCCACTATCACATAATTCATATGTAGAAAACAAATCTCTAAAGGGGGACATGTGATAGGTACAACCAGAGTCAATCAACCATTCATGCTCAGACAGGGAATTTCTCACAGAATTAGCATGGTCACAAACCATCAAAATATCACCAAGGTCACATTTATCAACAGCTACACTAGCATGCTCGGTCTTCTTAGGGTGGGGGCAATCCTTAATGAAATGGCCAGTGTTACCACAATTGTAACACACTCTCTTCCTAGATTTGCTCCTCTTCCTCCCAGGCTGACTAGTGTTCTTACCCTGACTATTTTGCTTAGAGTTCTTAGACCTACCCTTAGATCTACCCCTAACAAACATAGCCTCACCGGAGTCCCTGGACTGACTAGCACTACCCCTAGCATGCTTCAGGTCTAATTCCTTACTCCTTAACCCATTCACCACAATGTCTAATGAAATCTCATCCCTACCGTACTTAATAGCGGACTTAACATCATTATAAGAGTCGGGAATGGCATTAAGTAATACTATGGGAGTGTAATCATCTATGTGTTTATCACCTGCCTGTTTGATATTCTGTATCAGTTTATTAAACACATCCAGGTTCTCATCTATATCCTTAGTCAGGTCAAGCCTAAACCTAAAGAATTTTTCTAGTAAGAACAACTTTCCGGGCAAAGAGGTATCAGTATAGAGACTATCCAATTTCTCCCACAACTCCTTAGCAGACTCAAGAATACCCACTTTCCTAAGCACAGAATCAGACAGATTCAAGTAAATAGTAGAACAAGCAGTTTCGTTCATTTCAATTTGCTTAGCCTTATCTTCTGATTCAAGGAAAATACCAGTGACAGCTCTGAAAACTTTTTGCTGTATTAAAACACATTTTATTTTCTGTTTCCAAATATCAAAATCTGTTTTTCCATTAAATGGGAGCATACCATACTGATTCGCAGCCATGGTATCAACCACAAAGGAACACAAAGCTAAACAGATAGAAATGACAGAAAATAATCCAACCCGGGTTATAAAGTATTCACTTTAATAACCCCGGGCAGCATGCAACACATAGCAAAAATGGACATTTTGGCAATTAAACAATTCCGGGCAGAAAAAATTAAATTTAATTAATTCTACCCCTACCACCCAATAAATCACCCCTACGCATAACAACTGTAGGGACCGTTTATTCCGTCTCCGGCTCAGGTCTTTCTACACAAAGACTCACATACACCACACTAGGCTAGACCTCTTCACCACTAAACTCCATCTCTACCACTAAGTAACCTCTCTCACACTCTCACACAAAGGAAAGGAAGAAGAAGTAGAGCACTGCTCTCTATGGAGTATCTCTCGCAGGCTGAGTCTCACAAGGAAGAAGCAAAGACTATTAATAGGCTGTATAACAAGCTGGAAGTCACGGGTGAGGCAAACAAGGGACACTCACGGGCTGCTCAAACAAATGGTGCAGTGGACAACAACAAAAGGGGGCCAGCCAAAGATAAGTCAAACAGCCAATAAGTGAGGTAAAATAAGGTATAGCTTAGTGGGAGTAAACATAGGGTGTAGGTCAATAATAAAGTGGAAGGGAGGCCTTGGTAGGACCAATACCTCCAACATTAATTAAAATTAAAAACACAATCAGAATGTAAAACAAATGGACTCCAAACGAATGTCAAGAGAAATACAGTAAAAGAATGCATTAATTTCAATTTATAAGGAAAAATAAAAATGAAAAACCAATAAACCGAAGAACACAATTTTTGAAGGTGACCGAATGAAATGGAGAGTTGGAGGGGCTTTTAATGAATAAAGAGCAAATGGCGCAGGATTTTATAGGAACAATAAATACTCCGTACTATTTAAATGAGAAAGCAAAATAAAAAACAAGAGCACCAACCATACACAAAAGGTGTTACGGGACTATGTAAAAGTGTAAACAAATATCAGAGCTTTAACACTTCTGATGGAGTATATGGCCCAGAAACCCCCGGCCCACAGACTCCTACTTCCCCTACGCAGGCCCATTGGGCCCAAGGAACATTCGAGGCCCAAATACAGAGGCCCAAGTCTCAAAGAACTCCAAAATACACATTGGGGTCCCTTCGGCCTCCTTGGCCGAAGGCTCCAAAATACACAGGGCACCAAGATTCGAGCATACGAAGCTACTGGGAGAAAACGGCGTAAAACAGTAGCAGCCCTCGACTACCAGTAGCCTTCGGCCATACGTCTGCTGCCTTCGGCATCAGGGAAGCCTTCGGCACTCCCATGCCTTCGGCTACACAGACCCTCGACCGTAGAGGGAGCCCTCGGTCAACAACTCAATCATCGAAAATATTCCCTTTGGAGACAAGCAACCACCGCATTTAATGCAACGTCACATCCACGCACCGCATTCAATGCGGAGCACATGCGACTGCCAGTGCCACCCAATTGAGGTGACCCCTCGGCCGTCGGATTATCGCTACGTGTACTCTCATCACATTTATTGCTACTATAAATACCACCCCATTTTCCCATTGTAAAAGATCCCAGATCCCAACACATCTCGAGTTATTAATACAATCTCCTCTCTCTCTCCTACTTGTTCGCTCTGACTTCTCTCTAGGTTATTCCCGTAATAACCCCTCGGATAAGATACCCCCCGGTACACTCCCCATCAACTTCCGTTCAATCAACTCAGATTTGTATATAACAAAAGATACTCTACTTGTATACAAAAGATCTTAATCTTGGATAACTCTTCCTCATAGTTTAACCTTTCTCATAGTAGTTTAACCTTTTAAGATTAAGGATGCATGGTAATGGGGGCGGAACCCGTGGGGAACTGCGCCGTGGGGGGGGGGGGGGGGGGAGGGGCGGGGATGGGTGAGATATTTCTACCCCGCTAAAATATGAGGCGGGGGACAAGGATTACTACACCCGCCCCGTTCCGTCCCGGTTATAAATATATACATAAACTTATATACACATATATACATACACAAATAATGTATAAACATATTTAATTAAATTATATGGTTTACATAAGAAAGACATACATGTACATATACATATACCATACATGTATGCGTTTTAGTATACCATAGTACCATACCATACATGTATACATATTTATCATAAATGTTATATGAGTCTTAAAATTGAGAATTTGAGTAAATAGAACACACACACACATGTATAATTATATAATTAATTGTATTATAATTGATGAGAAATTTGGAAGCATATGTGTACTTATATTTTTACTTTCATTGTCTTCACATCACTTATTCAAATCAAAGAATTATAAAAAATTGACCGTAATAACTTTTATCAAACACAATATGATATACTAGTTTAACTCTTTCGGTGCTACACACATGCATACTTCCTCCGTCTCACAATTAAGTTCCTAGTTGTACTTTTTGGGTCAAATTTTATAAACTTTGACCGTTAATCATTCATAATTTTATCATACAAAATTAATTTTATATACTTTATTGGAATGCATATTATTCAAATATTAATTTATATTAGATTTTATAAGTATAGATTCTTTGATATTTAGGGTTAAACATCCACCTTGAAGTAAAAGCCAAATTAGGAGCTTAATTGAGGGACGCAGGGAGTATAATGGATTAAAAATATGTAAATAAGATAAATAAAATCTATATGGGGGTAGTCACGTGTACCCGTGGGGGACAACGGGGGTGGGGTGGGGATGGGGCGGGGATGGGAGTAACGGGGGATAGTGTGGGGATGAGGAGAACTTTTTAGACATGGGGCGGGGATGGAGGAGTGAACCCCGCCCCAAACCCTCCCCGTTGCCGTCCCTATTTAAGATGAAACCTTAAATCTTAACATGATATCAGAGTCAAAATTGATTGTTGTTTACGACCGTTACACTAATAATATATGGTGCAAGACTACAAGTCATTTGTTATCAACCCATTAGAGATACAACTTCATGGCCAACTGGGATTTCCCTGCAAGTCATTTCTTATCAACCCATTAGAGATACAACTTCATGGCCAACTGGGATTTCCCCACAAAATCGGATACCATTGTATATGTGAAGTAGATGTGCTAATGTATGTTAGGTATGAGTGAAACATATTATAGTTTATCAAATAGGAGTGACATTATTTTATTCTTCATATAGGTTCATTTTACTTCTGTTTTGGAAATTTTTATGTTGTATTTTTAATAGAATTAAACAAGTCACATTTAGAAAATCAAACTTATACATGGTCATATTTTAGAACCTTATTTATATTTTACTCTTATATTAAGTCTTTTTTTACACTACTCCGCATAGAGGAATACATTATCTGTGGCGGAGTTGTTTTCTTTTAGCAGTGGGACTAGGAATGCGCCGCCTCGGCTTTCTTTTAGCAGCGGGAATCGGCTGCACTTTTTCTTCTTCATCGTCGTCTCCTTTCGCTTTGAATTCCCATTTCACAATATCGCCATCCCAAGAAGAGCTAACAAGCATTGGGTAATAGGGGTGCCAGCTACAATCTCTCACTGTTGATCTATGGTGCTCCAGTTTTGCTACTTGCTCTCCGCTCACCTGCACATAAAATATAAACCACTCATAGCCATCATCTCAATTCCAGTTCTAGGGAATCAAATTTAACAATGCCACATTAAAATTTGTGTTTCGATCCTGCAAAATAAACCGTATTGTAGTAACGAAAAAGCCTCATACGTTTGTTTGTACTTCTTATACTTTTTTATGTTGGATGATTTAAGATTAAGCAACACTCTAAAATCAATCAGCACTCTGAATTCATACAGTAAAGCATAACTAGGAAGTACTGTGTATAGCCTCTCAGCTCACTTGTCACTTTTCGCATTTGACATTGTCAACTACTTTCTTTCTATAACGTCAACAAGTAGTCGTGTATGACCTTTTTACTTTTTTATATATATACATAATCAGGGGATGATCTATGTACGAGTTATAGTAGGCTGAAGCACAGGGTAACATCCCCCCCCCCCAACTTTTTTAGTTAAATATTTTTTCATTTTTCATATTTAGCCCACCATGCTAATATTTACTCTAGCATAATTACTCTTCGGCGCTGTCCAACCCAGATTCCTGGATCTGCCCCCATACATAACTAGTATGAAATGATTTAGTATACATCCAAAAGATGATGATTCATCAAACGAAATTCACGTATTCCTTAAACGTTTATTAGTATAGAGTTTTATAAATGTTGATAGGTCCAGCTCAGCTGATCGCCGACTTATTCTCCTCTATGGGAGGTCCCGAGTTCAATATTCAATGGAGTGTGTTTGATCCCAATTTGCCCCAGGCCCCCCACCCCCAGACCCCTCAGGCAAAAAAAGTTGACATGTTTTCCTAGCACTGACCGATTTGACTAGCGTTTTGATCATTTGGTCGAGTCGCTTATCACTAGTGTTTTTTTTTCCGCATAAGTTTTAGAGATATGCATCTAAAAGGAAAAGAAAAGAGGGCATCAAAGTGACCTAAAAGCATACCAAATCATAGACATAAATGCACTTGTCATGTGATCCAGTGTAAATATACTTTTGTCCCGTGCTGCACATTTAAACATCATATGAGAAAACTCCATGGATACATTTCAGGAATACAAGAAAAGAGATAATGTACAAAATATCCATTGCACTAACCTAAACGCAGGGGAGATGTATGAACGAACCAAAGTACGCAATACACTGTGGCCCTTATAAGTGGACAAAGACTGGTCGTTGGGGTGCTTCAGATCACTTGCCTCAGCCGGGTAGTCCATCCATCTGTAGTCCCAGTCAAAATTCCTGAACCAATTCGCGCTGATGATAAACAGAAAAAACGTTTTAAAATGTCTCATCAAATTCTATAAACTCAAGGAACATATATGTATAATCAAAGTTGTACTCAAACTAACAATGTACCAAGTATAATTATCACTCGATCAGGCAAGTCAAAGTATAATATTGGGCTGGACATAGTTAAATTACAAGGAGTGCATATATCAAATATAGGCTAGCCTCAAATATAATATGACAAGAGTTTATCAAATATCATTATTAACTTCATAATATATTCACAATTTTCAATATTCCAATTCAAATTTATCTTATATCTTTATTGTGATCAACTATTTTTACACATTTTTTATGATATGTACCTATATATTTACATGAAAAAAGAAATAATTGCGGATGGAATTAGACAGGCCAGAGCTCACTCTTATAATTTGCAGAAGAAGTTTATGATGAAGAAATATACTTTTGGGAAGAAGAAGATTGAATTGAATGGAACAATATGTAGTTACAGTTCGATAGTAGTTGTATATATACTCCAACAATTAGGAAGAAGAGAAAGAACTATCTAGAAAGGGACAACTCATCTACAGTTAGTTTAAATAACAGAAAATTAACTAACTAGATAAACTCAAATTGGACGTTGAGTTGCAGCTCTCATCCTTTTCCTTTAAGTCGTTTTCCTTTAGCATTGTTACCCCCCCCCCCCCCCACAAGCTGGAGCGCATAGATCAAGGAGACCCAACTTGAGGTCTATATCTTTGTAATATTTAGGACTCAAAGGCTTTGTGAGTGCATCTGCAAGTTTTAAGTTGGAGGAGACAGGAAGCAACTTGATTACGCCTCTACAGGCTTGTTCACGAACAGTGTGGCAATCAATCTCAATGTGCTTTGTCCTTTCATGGAAGACAGGGTTGTTAGCAATGTGTAAGGCAGATTGGTTGTCACAATATAGGATGTGGCAGGAGATTTGTAGGATGCTTTGAGGTCCTATAATATGTATGTGAGCCACTGAATTTAACATGTTGTTTTGGCCATGGCTCTATATTCAACTTCACATGAGCTGCGTGACACTGTTTTCTGCTTCTTAGTCTTCCAAGATATCAATGAACTGCCCAAATAGATGCAAAAACCAGTGATGGATCTTCTAGTGTCTGGACAAGATGCCCAATCACTATCACTATAACCCTTTAATTGAATGCAAGAATCTGAAGGGAAGAATAAACCCACAACTGGAGATTATTTGAGGTATCTAAGGATCTCAAGTGAATTGTCATGGTGTTTGCATGTGGGTTTATCCATGAATTGTGCAAGTTGTTGGACAACAAAGGTAATGTCTAGCCTTGTGTAGGTTAGATAGATCAAATTGCCAACAAGTCTTCTATAAGCTGCAGGATCAAAATATTGGGGGCTCTCATCCTGATGGAGATGTGTGTTAGGATCCATGGGAGTAGATGAAGGTTTACAACCCAGATATCCAGCATCTTGTAGGATGTCTAATGTATACTTCCTCTGATTTAGCACAATTCCAGTGTTGGACCTGTCAATCTCAAGTCCAAGAAAAAACCTTAAATCACCAAGGTTTTTGATAGTGAAAGCTTTGTCAAGGGCAGTCTGTATAAGCCCAACTTCCTGCATATTATTACCTGAGAGTATTATATCATCAACATACACCAGGAGAGCAGTGAAAGAGTGTTGTTGATGCTCGACAAATAAAGAGTGATCACTCTTTGATTGGGTGAAACCAAACTGAACCAGGAAGGTAGACAAATTGGCAAACCACTGTCTTCCAGCTTGTTTCAAACCATAGAGTGATTTTTTTAGTTTATAGACTTGACCAGGATGGCTAGCTTCTAAACTAGGTGGTAATGTCATGTAAACTTCTTCCTTCAAGTATCCATGTAGAAAAGCAGTGTTGACATCTAATTGTTTAAGGAACCACTTATTTATAGAGGCCAAAGCTAAAAGTAATCTGACTGTGGTAAGTTTGGAAACTGGTGAGAAAGTGTCTTTGTAATCAACCCCTTCTATTTGTGTGTACCCTTTTGCCACTAATCTCGCTTTGTACCTCTCAACACATCCATCAGCTTTGTGTGTGACCTTGAAAACCCAATTACACCCTACAAGATTTTTCCCAGCAGGCAAATTAGTAAGAACCCAATCTCCATTATCCTTTAAAGCTGTCAGTTCATTGTGAATTGCTTCCTTCCAATGATCAAACTGAATTGCTTGTTTGAAAGAACTGGGCTCAGTGTGGGTGCAGGTCATATAGAGGATTGTGGATTTGTAATCATGAGTCAATTTATCATAGGAGAGAGAGATAAGAAGAAATGGGATATGGTGAAGTATGATTTTCACTGCAAATGTGAGTTATGAGTTTGCAGTGATAATCCTTGAGATATGTGGGAGGTTTGTGAGATCTGATGCTTCTTCTGATGTTATTTGAATCTGACATAGTGGGCTGGATTGGAATGTTATGCACATGTGGTGATATAGATTGATTGGATTCATTTTGAGTTTTAGATGAGGTGTTGGAGGAGTTGTTTGTAGTAGATTGATTAGGTGGTGTTGGTTTTGGAGTAGAGAATATGTCATCATATATAGGATCAGTTTGAAGTGGTAATGGTGATAGATGTGGGGTTTGATTAAGAGGTTGTTGTTTGGAATAATATCGAAAAATTGACTCATGAAAGACAACATGTCTGTTAACCAATAGCTCTCTAGTTTGAAGATTTAATACTATGAATCCTTTAGTATTATCCTTGAATCCAAGGAACAAACATTTGAAAGCTTGTACATCAAATTTTCTCCTGTTGTGATCAAAAGAACTGGCAAAGCATAAGCATCCGAATACCTTTAAGTGAAGTATCTCTGACTTCTTCTGAAAAATCAGTTCATTGGGTGTTTTGTTTTCTAAAAGTGGGGTTGGCAGCAGATTGATGATGTGAACAGCATGCCTGACTTCATAGGACCAGTATATCTTGGGTAAGGAACTTTGTAATAGAAGAGCTCTAGGCACATTCATGTTATGTTGATGTTTCCTCTCAACAATGCCATTTTGCTGAGGAGTGTAAGGACAAGATGTCTGATGTATGATTCCTTTACTGGAATAGAACTGATGCATAAAGAATTCTGATCCATTATCACTTCTTATTACTTTCACTCTCTTATCAAACTGTGTATCAACAAAAGCAACAAAATCTTGCAAAGTTTAGAGGTTTCAGCCTTAGATTTCATTTAGAAAATCCATGTATATCTAGAAAAGTCATCTACAATTGTCAAAAAATATTTGTGTCCATGGATAGAAGGAATAGCAAACGGTCCCCAAATGTCAACATGCAACAGATCAAAGCTATTATCACTATATTCCATGGATATAGGAAAACTAAGCTTTTTCTGCTTAGCTAAATGACAAATATCACATACATGATCTTTATTTTGAGTAACAAAGGAAAATTAAGATATTATTACATCTAAGCATTTATTGGAAGCATGAGCTAGTCCAAAATGCCAAAGGCAGTTTTCTAGAATGCATTGAGTGTTTAAAACTGAAACTGAATTACAAACTGGAAGAAAATGGTGATGATGATTGGTTGATGTCCTCAACATATATAGCCCACCCTGAAATTCAGTTGTACCAATCATCTTCAAAAACTCCCCTTTTCCTGAATAATACAATATAATGGTGTTCATCAAAAGATAAGACACATGAAGAAACAGATGTCAATTTTGGGATTGCCAATAGGTTGTAGTTAAAGGATGGCAGGAACAACACATTACAAATAGCTATATTCTTAGTGAGATGTATTGAACCTATTATATCAGTGGATAACTCAATGCCATTTGGTAAGGTGATTTTGATTGGTCTGACCTTATGATATGATGAAAAAAGTGAAAGATTATAGCAAATATGATCTGTTACACCACTATCCAAAATCTATGAAACAATTTGACAATTAAAGATACTTTTACCAGAATTGTTGTCAGGAGTAAGATTCAGTGAAGTGGTTGCCATCACACTGCTTCTTTGATTGTTCTGAGTTGTTGCTTGCAGACTATTCCCATGCATATTTGATTGTTGAAGATGATTAATCAGCCTTTGATATTGGTCCTGACTGATTTCGAACATGGTACTTTCAGAACTGACTCCTTGAGCAGGTTGATCAATCAAAGTTTCTTCTTCATCTATGTTCACAACATTAACACGTCTATTGTTTGAGAATTTGAAATTTGCTGGAAAACCATGCAGCCTGTGACATGTATCTGATGTATGTCCATTCTTCCCACAATAATCACAAACTTTTCCATTATTCTGATTCTTGTTTCCTTTGTAGTTAGGGTTGTAGTTTGATCCTTTGTAATTGGGATTAGGATTGTTTCCTTTATATCCACCATTGCCTCTGCTGTTTGATCGAGTGACAGCCATAATCTTACTGTCAGATCTTGATTGAAAGTTTGTCTCTCTTGCTGAATGACCAAAGGGAAAACCCTACTCATATTAGGTAAGGGTTCAATCAACATTATTTGTAACCTAACAACTCCATATGCATCATTTAACCCTTTGAGGAATCGAATCACCTTATCATCATCTGTGTATTATTTTAGTGAAAAAATTAGTCAAATTCATATCATTTTGTTTGAAATTCGTAATAGTTTCTTGCAGATCAGCAATTCTGAACAGATTACCTTGTGAGAAGCATTCCTTTAGTTCCTCCCAGATGTCTTGAGCTTTATCAAGCCATAGAACACTTTGAGCGATTGATGAGAAACTGATTTGATGATCCAGGAACTCACAATGTTGTTTGCCCTCTCCCATGCAGAGTACAATGTGTCGCTCTTTGAAGACATTTTTATCTTGCTAATAGCCTCACAAGAACATTTAGGTAAAGGTCTGAAAGTATCTAGTTCGTCCCACAGTATCTTTAGTTCAGTGAAAAAATTAGTCAAATTCATATCATTTTGTTTGAAATTCGCCATAGTTTCTTGCAGATCAGCAATTCTGAACAGATTACCTTGTGAGAAGCATTCCTTTAGTTCCTCCCAGATGTCTTGAGCTTTATCAAGCCATAGAACACTTTGAGCGATTGATGAGAAACTGATTTGATGATCCAGGAACTCACAATGTTGTTTGCCCTCTCCCATGCAGGGTACAATGTGTCGCTCTTTGAAGACATTTTTATTGTTCCGTTGACGAAGCTCAATTTCTGTTTCGAAATCAGGCTCATCTTCATTGATATACACCAATGGTGATAGTTATCTCCATCAAGGACTGGAGATACGAGTGCGATAACAAGATTTTCGTTTGGATGTACGTAGTATGGTGAACTTAGATTTTGAGTTGGATCATCATTTGTCTCTGAACTTGGAGGCATTTTGATTTGTGATGATGATACAATCAATAATTCTATTGGTGATGATGATACGATTAGTAATTCTCTTATACCATCTTTGATAATTTGCAGAAGAAGTTTATGATGAAGAAATATACTTTTGGGAAGAAGGAGATTGAATTGAATGGAACAAGATGTTACAGTTCGGTAGTAGTTGTATATATACTACTACAATTAGGAAGAAGAGAAAGAACTATCTAGAAAGGGACAACTCATCTACAGTTAGTTTAATTAGTCTTTTTCCTTTAGCGTTGTTACTCACTTCAATTAACTTTTGGCATGGATTTGCATTGCAACTTTGCAAACAAGTACAAAAGACTAAATATTTGCTGGTGGGCATAGCTCAACTGGTAGATAGAGAGTGTCACAAGAGGTGAGTTTCGTGTTCGAATCCCGACAACTGTGATGAAAAGTTATTATATAAAAATACATGTCATCGGGATAAGGTGTCATCCTTTTTTTCCTCAAGACTAAATACACAAAACATCCATTAGACCTGACTTGAAGTGGGAAACTAGTATAACTTCTAACTCAGGCTACTCAGCCCATGAGATTGAAGTCACTCAATTGATTAGTAGAACACGATTCAAATCATATTAAATGATTTAACCAATTTAATTACATATTTTAGTTCAAGGTTTCTAAAAACTCGATGCGCAAAAAACTATTTTTGAGGTCAACCAATTGATTGTCTACTGATTGAGTTTGGTTTCACTTTGTTGTGCAAAATAACATGTTCCAAAGTGAATGAGAAATGTATTATAACATGAATGTTTGTGAAAGAAGCTCAAATTTGAGTAGAAGTGTATACCACATATTATTGGAGGACATTTTGCGGATATCCCAAAGCTTGATTGACTGATCTTTACCATTGGATATGAAATAGCGGCCATCTCCATGGCTGTCGATAAAAGTAATACCCTCTAGGTGGCCCGTAAGCACTCCTGCTGACTTACCACCCTGGGTTCTAAGGCAACGCCTATCCCAGACCTATAAATTTGCATGCCGCGTAATTAGTCTAAGTAGTGAGAATAAAGTTTGGAAAAATGAGCTGAAAACGGGGTTTATTGTTTAAGTTTGAGACTATTATCGGGAACTAGATAAAAGTTGCTGAAATTAGGGACTATTGTTTGAAACTAGATATAAATTGTTGAAATAAAATGTTATTTGAATGAAGTAGACTTGCTTGATAACAACAGTTAAAATAGTGATTGAAAATGTAAAACTACCGTGGAATATAAGGGAGTTTTGACTTTGCACCCCACTTTTTGGATGATATTGAACTTTGCACTCCATTTAAAAAAAACTTAGACTTTGTACCCCATTGTATAACATTTGTGAAGAAAAAATTCTAATTGAGGTGCAAAGTCAAAGGCTTTTAAGGGAAATAGGATGCAAAGTCTATTTTTTTTTTTTTAAATGTGGTGTGATGTTTCAAATAAGTTGTCAATTAGTTGTCTACATGCAACTAATTTGTTGTCAATTAGTTGTCTAGATTTCAAATAGTAACGTTTCAAATCAGTTGAATAATTTTTGGTCGAATCAAGATAAGTCTTTCATCCATACATGGCTACATGCCAATTAATTGTCTAAATTTTCAAATTTTAGCTTATTTTCATCCGAAATGGTCATCAAACATGACCTAATTCTCCTTTTAGTAGGGGTGGGCATAAAACCCGAACCGAACCGTCCGTAATGGTACCGAATCGAATACCAGGTATTTAAACGGTTCTATATATTTTTGTCCCATACCGAAACCGTGCCGTTTGAAATGGGTACGGGACCGGTCCTAGATTTTGAGAACAAAAATACCGGACCGAACCGTTTGAAAATAATGCACTTGATTTTTTATATTTTTTCTTTACCAATTCAATAGATCTCTTTAATAGACTAACAATTTTATAGCCCAAGTATGTATTTATGCGTCCTTAAAATAGCTAAATGTATGTGTTTATATATATATATAATATTGTTATTTTTTCTTTTTAGATAATTTATGTTATATTTTGGTATGTATTGAAAGAATATTAAAATTTTAGAGAAATCATTAATGACTTCATTTCTAGTAATGTTGGCGTATATGACTTTCTTTTTATCATGTTTGTGCAATTTTACAACTTAATTAATATGGTTTAAATCTTAGCTCTCAAGGTTCAACAATAAATTAAATTAGAACTACAGAGTAATATTTAACGAGTAAAGGGTCAGTTTGGTTCTCGAAGTTGCATAAAGGGGGTCAAATAAGACCTTATATAGAAGGTTCTATCCGGCCGTCGCCATTTGGGGCGGTTCCCGGTGGAATTTTTTGATGAAAATTTTTGAGCATCTTATTCATTAAGTCTAGTTCACGCATACCAAATTTCAGATAAAACTTCAATCGGGAAGATATTCAAATGAATTATTGAAGATAACTGTGTAGTTAAAGTGCAGTTACATTCAAGAATTCATTTGAATGCCATCCCGATTGAATGTTTAGCTGAAATTTGATATGAGTAACTAGACTTAATGAATAAGATGCTCAAAAAAGTTCATCAAAAAATTACACCGGGAACCGCCTCAAATGGCACGTCCGGACAAAATCTTCTTTATAAGGACTTGTTTGACCCCTTTTATGCAACTTCGATGACCAAACTGACCCTTTACTCAATATTTAACCTAGAATGAACAAGAAGAACATTGAGGATTTCTATTATATTCAACAATTGATGATATTCTTTTTTATATTTTCACTTGAACTAAGTAAATTAAGGATGATATTTATCTCGTGTGTCATCGTTTTGCTACACTCTTTTTTAGTTGTGTTGCACTATTTGTTTATTTGTGAATTTTAGTCCTATATATGCAATTTCTTTTATTTATATCAACATTTCATGTGAGTTGGTTGGTGTGATGATATCTACTAATTGCAAGATTTGTTCAAAATTTTCAGCATGTGTTTGGCAGTGTACCGTACCGTTTTGTACCGTTCCGAAACGACATGGTACCGAACGGTTCCATCCTTGAAACCAGACCGTACCGTTAAAAACCTCACATATACATATATTATGGGTTTTACTAATTTACCGGACCGTTCCGGACCGCGTCCACCCCTAGCTTTTAGTAAGAATTATTTGACTAAAGTGACCATGTGTTTCAAGGGTTTGTAACATGTCATTTCATCGAGTAAGTGAAAAGCTAGTTATTTCGATGACGAGTAGACGAAGGATGTTTTTAATTTGACTGAAATGTTCTGGTCGGTCTGATATAGTCTTGTCTGAATTGGTCTCATTTGGAAGATATATGTTTTATGCATATTTTATAACTTTCGAAGTCTTGTCTTATCTGATCTATTTGTACCTAGTCCGGTGATAGCCGTTATATTTACTTGTGTTTAACATAAGTATTTATAAGTATTTGTTGAAGAAAAGAAGAGAAATCGGACAACTACCTTCAGAATGAGAGCTAAAACATAAAACAATGTGATGAACGGTTTTTTAGACCAAGAGGATGACGTTCTGCCCATAATTTGAGTATAACGTATTGTAGAAAACTCGAAATCACTCGATTCGAATTTCATGTGAATTTTAACTCAATAAGGTACAAATGTTATGAAGACGTCATGACCAAAATATGAAAGGAACAAGACTCAATCAACCAACAAAGTCAGATGTTGCTGGTGGGATTTCAGGATGCATACCTCTCAGTGTTTTGGCCATAACGTTTGATTGGATGAATACAATCAAATTTTGGTCATTCAAGTTTTGGTGGATAGAAGACTTCATTATCTACAACTTTGGTGAATGAATGATTTCCAAATTCATAGTGGAACATCCCCAAAATCCCGGGGCAAAAACCGACACTTTTTGATCCATAAAAGAGGAAGAGAAAGGAAGCACATTTTTAGGCGCAACAACCGGCGCCGGTCAGGCATTAACCGGCGCCGGTCGGAAGGTATTTTCGCACTAAACGAGCCTGTTTGCGACCAGGGCCAGTTCTAGACTGACCGGGGCCGGTTGGGACGATTTTCTACTAAAACACAGCAACGTGCAAGAGGATTTTTGATGGGAAAACTTCACCTTCCTCGTCTCTTGATCAAATATTGCTCCATACCTGATTGTTGGGCTCGAATAGACTAAAAGATGTCATTCTTTAGCCTATATAAAGCCTTCAATTCATCAAGCAAACACATTCCATTCCATAGATTAATTCTTAGCTTTTATATTTTTGTTCTTGGTATTTTCTTCAAGTTCTTGAGGAGGACACTTCAACCTCCAAAACCATTGGTGTTTAGGTATTATTTCCTTTGTTATTTCATGTTCCATTACATTTCATATTGTATTGTGATTAATATGAGCATTAGAGGCTAATTTCTTAGCTAAGGCTAGGGATGAACCTCTATGCACACTAGATATATGTTTGATAAAAGTTCTAAACCAACAAATTGTGATTTATCCTTTATATTTTGATTGTTTATGACTATGGTGTACAACATAGAAGTATGTTAAATTTAGTTTATGCTTGCAATTAACGTTGAAGTCTAAACTATGAACATTAAAGGATAAACATATATAGTACCGAGAATAGAAATATATCCGGTCTTATATGATACGGGTGTGATGTCTTGATATTCAACGGGGTTTTCGGTAGATGAATGTAAGCCGTAACGGGACTTACACGTAACGAAAACCACGCTCTCGCTGCCTTAACCGGAGTTGAGAATATATTAGCGACATCGTATTCATATATAATTATTGGGGAAGAACTATTATTAAATAACTATTAAAGCATTTAGGTGAATCCCGATTGTCTTAGTAATTCTCATTCTTGTTTAAATCAACATCAAAGAACAAAGTTCCTGAAAAAATATATCATTTATATTCTTTCCATTCAATATTCGACTTTATAATATCAACCATTTCTCTGTGGATCGACCCGGTATTTACCGATATTTGATTACTATATCGGCACTTGTATACTTGCAAGTTCAAACCAATCATTTGGTCTTGTACTAAAATTAGTCGTACATGCTAATTTTTTTACAAGGCTACCTTACCAAATGGAGACTAAATTCAAAAATTTTCAATGACTAAACAAATACCTTACAGAGATTGTCATCACTTCCAGAGTACATAATATTGCCCGTTTCATCACCGAAACAAACAGTGTTGACATCAGACTGCATCATAATCATCATAAACAAGTAAACCAAACTTCTTCGTTATATTATATGTTACTAGAATGGAATTAAAGAAAACTCGCTTTTGGATCACATATTCACATCATTTAATTTTGAAAAAAAAAAAGGATGACACCCCATCCCTGAGGGCCCCCAACACCGACCGGACGACACTCCCCAATAAAGGATGACATCATTTAATTTTGAGACTATATACTACGTCCCTCCCAAATTGTTTTGCAAAATTAACATTTTTTGTCAATCAATGTTAAATTAAATACTACCTATTGATAATTAATTCAATTTTAGTAATAAAATTAATCCGTTTGACCCAAAAACACAATTTTACGACTCAGTTTGATACGAAGGGAGTATACCGCATGTGCAGGAATTCTTAGGGAAAGCTTCCTTACTTCAAGATCAAACACATAAATCGCATCATCGCTGCTTCCACCAACAATTTCACGACCATCGTTTGAATGGTTCACAGTAAAAATTCCAAAAGAATGGTCACCATCCACATCACTCGAGAAGTCAAACCCCTCATGAACCTCCTGCATGGCATTTTTAATTAAGAAGAATTGATTACCTTTTAAATTTATTATATATGTTCAACAAACTCAATATCATTTAAAAGTGAGTGAGTGAAAGTTTCAGCTTCAATTTATAATTACTTGGGCTTTAAGGGGGATGATTTTGGGGAAAAATTTACACGAATTTTTTAAAATTAAAAATATAGACATTTTTTTGAATTTAGGGTGGATGAGGGCCTAGGTTGGCCCCTCCCTAGCTACCCCCTTGTTTGAATGTTGTTGTTAGTCCCATACAATTAGCTAAAGGGAAATGAGGGAGTTGTAGGATTATTAAAAAAAGTGAAAATGTATGTTTGATATTGAATTGATAATGTGACTTAAGTAAAATGAAATATAACCATCCAAATATTATCCAAATATTATCACATATGTAGTATGATGCAAGACAAGCTCAGTAAACGGACAAAAATGGTAAAATAAGACAAAGCAATGAATCGAGGAGTAATCCTTAATTGACGAGATTATAGTGTTTTCATAGTCATACATCGATGTCTTCAATAGATTCATTGTCGGAAGACCCGGCGTCTACAATATGCACAATAGGTGCCATTGTTGCATATACCTGCAATGAATGATGTCCATGTTAAACCATTACAACACTTTACTTTTTTTAGGTGCGCTTCCTAACCTATTATAATATCTATTTCATTCAGACAATTTACTCGTACACATTATGTTTTAGGAACAATATTACGTACAGACTGGAAAAAGGTGTACAAATTTCAATCATTTTAAGTCATTCAAACTAACCAAATACGTAGTATATATCAATGTTGTAAAAGGAGTTAGGCGCTAGTTGGGCGTCAGCCCAGTGCCTAGTGCCTAGGCGCCTAGGCAGGATTAGTTAGAGACATAAAAATTTCATTTTGTCAATACTTTTACATAAATATGATAAAGTCCCTATGATAAATAATACTCCCTCTGTTTCTTTTTCTTTGACATAGTTAGAAAAATCAACATTTAATGATTTTTTTACTAAGGGGTAAATTGTACTGTTTGAACACTGTTTGACACTGTTAGACACTGTTTGGACACTGTTTGGCACTATTTTGCACTTTTTTGTTTACCAAATGGGAAGTGTGTCATTCATTTTGAAACGTCTAAAAAGGAAAGTGTGCCAAACAAACAGAAACGGAGAGAGTATTGTGTTTGTGTATAACAATATATACACATACACATTAATATACATGAATGATAGAACTATCACATTGAATAATATATTATAACTACATTATGTAATAAATAATAAATAATAATAACATTTAAGAACATATACAAACATGTGCAATCTTTATCTTAATCTATAAGCAGCTTTCCTCATATGTGTGGTTAAGTGTTCGGTGAATCTAGACCCCCTAGACGACCGATTAAGCGTCCTGGGCGGACGACTTGGCACCCTAAGTGGCCGACTAATTTATGTAAGCGCCAAACTAATTAATTGGAGCCTAGACTAAAATCGGGGTGTCACGCCACCACCTAACGTCTAGAGCAATTTTTAGAACAATGTATATATAGAGATAGAAACTCAAAAAAATTGTCAGAAGCCCCAATTATCTAAAAAAAAATTGAGACAACCCTAACATAGAAAACTAAGAAAATTTTATATGTAAAACTAATACAAACTCACAAGATGGCTTTGATCTGGTGAAATAGATGTGTCTGTAACTGTCCAATTCAAGCCTTGTGCTTGAATGTTCTTTTGCAGTTTCCAACCTTTGTCCACATCATATATTCGAATGTCCCTTCCCTATTTCATAAGTTAAGAAATATTGCTGAATAAAGACCTTAACACATTAAAAGCATGCTACGGTACTCCATCAATCAGAGTATTGTACCAATAAGACATGTTTATATGATTAGTTCACGTCATTATTTCATCAATTGTTTATCTTCTATTTTTTTATTGCAATATTAATTGGTTGATATGAATAATGTAGGGTACCTTAAGGGCACCATAAACTTTGCTTTAAAATTAAGACCCAAAGTTAATTACCCAAATTTTGTCTATATAATTTTCTTGTCGTTTTACCTTTCCGGTCAATTATAAAGTGTAAAATCACACTAAAAAATGGATTCACATAACGCCTATTAGTTGACCTTTTAGAAGAAAACTCCAAAACTTAATACCACAAGTTTTAATAAAAGGAAATATACCTGAAATCCAGCAATAAATAGGGATCCATCAGGAGTGAAATGTGATACATAAGCCCTAGTTGGCATCTTATCTACAACCATAGGATCTCTTATAGGCAAATATTTATTCATAATGTGACAACGATCAGATGATGAAAAAAATTCTCTCCTAGAGTAATTGGCTTCTCTTGCAATGATCATCTTCAAGGTTGAGATAGAAGCATCCTTTTTCCTTGCAAGTTCTCTTCTGAGGTTTTCACAGGGCCTTGATCTAAGCCTGGTGAGGTGAACAATTTCATCTTTAAAGCTATTCAATTGACCATTCTTCTGACTATTCAATTGCCCATTCTTTTGAGATCCCTTACTAACCTCCACATCAATTCTACTCATATCAAACACCATTTTAAATAAACCGTGGCAACCAAGTAGAAGATAATCATATATTGCCCATCCTAGTTTTCTACAACTGCAACCTGCAAATGTACATAAAACCAAACCAAACAAAACTAAACTGAAGATATCGTGTAACTAAACACTCATTTTCAACTAGCAGGGGTGGAAAACAGAAATATAAGACGCCCTGCCTCAGCTGAAGAGCAATCATACTAGGCTCAACCATTAGCGGGGTGGGCTGAATATGAAAAATGAAAAAAATTACCCAAAAAGATTTGAAAAAAAAATAAGTTACAGTGAACTTCAACCCACCATAGCCTGTACATAGATCCTCCCTATTTTCAAGTGTAAATAAATTGTATAGAAGTATGGAATTATGGATAATACGGAGTACTAAATTGCTAGCTAGAACCTAACCAAGTTATTTTTTGTTTGGTTATAAACAGTATCTCTAAACCCGGGTTGCATATAACACTTGGTATCACAAAAGTGTAGTTTTCTAGCCACTCACATAAAACAATTGGACTTGCATCATATGAGGTTTCTAATTGACCAAAAATTGACTAAAACATTGGACTTAATTACACTCCGTAGTTTTCTTCACGTTAATAATATCATCCAACACTTGGTACAAAAAGTGTTATTTCTAGCCACATTTTAATTAAAGCTTACTTTGGGCGGCATGAGGTCTGCTCTATTGTGATCAAATTTTTATGCAGAGGTTTCGACATTTTTAATCCTCTGACCATTACGTGAGTGACAATTTCAGTACTCTGTCTTTAAATTTTTCTACTTTTAGTCATTCTGCTACTATGCGATAGACACTTTCGGTATCCGTCCTTAAAATATTCTAAATTTAGTTCTTCAACGTTTCTAAATGTGAGACGTTTTGAAGTCAAGTATGAATAATACGGAGTACTAAATTGATAGCAAAACAAGAATCTAACCAAGTTATTTTTTCACAATCTAAATGTGGGACGTTTTGAAGCCAAGTACTATACATGTCTCTCACAGAATAGATGAAAGACTAACAACAAAATCATTGAAATTCGAGTACCAAAAATGTTACTGGTATAATAAGGGCACCTAACAAAAACTTTTTTAAGCACAAAGTTTTAGTATTGGAATTACAGAGTGAGAAGAAAGCTAATGTTTGATTACTCACTTTCAGAATTTGGATTAAATGATTGAGCCAAACTGCCAAATATGTCTGTTGTTCTTGCTCTGTACCTCAACTTTGTCTCCTGTCTTCGTCGGCTGGGAGAATGCAGAGTCTTCGTATCTCGACTCCGGCGTCAGGGAAGAGGAGGAGGAGGCGACTAGAGCCGCCAACGATGACTAATACTGCAGCCTCAGACTCATCTATATAGACAAGACTATACAAGAATTTGTAGGAGTAGAATATGATTTTAGTTTTCCGGGATGATATGAAAAATGCGATAAAGCATGTTAGGATTGAAGAGTATAAGTGAATCAAAACATTAGTAAAAGAATCGTTTTTAGCATTGACTTTCAAATACCTGAGTGTTTGGTCTGTATAGTTGCAGGATTGATGCATGCTTGGTTATTTGGTTTTCCTCAATTTTCCTTGTCACAGAATTAAAGTGTATTATAGTACTGTATGTGATTAGATTACTTTTACTAAAGCCTATTTGTTAGGAAGAAATTTGTTCCATATAGGAAGAAAAACAAATCACTGACTAAGGTATCTTCCAATTACCTTTACTTTTAACTGCTCAACAGATCCATCTTTGCATCATTACTCTTCACGTTCCTCCCCGTAAAAAATGGATGAGGAGTCTATGACTTGATTAAAAAAAAATATTATATTCCCTTGGAACAAAATTAAGAACAAGAGCATATTTATTAATACGGGGTAGAGCCGGACTTTTCCAAAATTTCAGCTCGATAGTGTGGGCATGTCCCACCGTTGCACCCGACCCAGAACAAACGGGCCACCTTACATTTCCAAGCCCGCTCATAGGAGTGGTTGGGCCCGTCCACTGGGCTGCGAGGTTCAAAAATGGTGTGCATAAGCACTTTTACAACATGGTGGAATTGTTGATTCAAGTTCATAATGACCGTGTTTGGTATTTAGCGGTTAGCGGTTATGAGATAACATGTTATGTTAGCAGGTTGTCAATAGCAGAAGATTTAGTTAGCGGGTTTGACTAGCGGAATAAGTTGGCGGGTTGTCAGAAAATGTTTGGTAATTTAACGGTTTGGCCATAAAATTAGTAGAAAATGTCATTTTCAAAACGCTAATACAAAACTCTCCTATTTGCAGCGTTTTCATTTCAGCAGTTCCGTACAAAAATGTTAGGGTCAAACAACTATTTATCAAATAGCGTTTTCATTTATTGAAAACGCTAAAAATGGTCAAACCGCTATTTTTTGGTTGAAACGTAATTTTCCAAACACCCCCAATGTGTCATACGGTTTTTATGACATTAGAGTTAGCACAAGGAACAATATATATGTATAGTTAGTTACATATAGTAATATATACTATGTGTGTGTGTGTGTATATATATATATATAATTATCTCATAATTATATACGGAGTATGTAGTACTAGGGATGGATTTAGGGGGGGGGGGGGGGGCTGCCCTCCTTCGAATTTCAAAATTTTCTATTATATATGTAATATTTTCATAATATAATTAGATATGTATGTGTTCGCCCCCCTTAACTTTTAATTTTCAAAATTAATATATGGCCTTACATAATTAATGTAATACTCAATTGAAGATTTAAAAGATGAAGCATCTAAAATAAACAATAGAACAAGTCATTGCTTAAGACTTATGATACTTATTATATAGAATTTCCTAGTTATGTAATGTTTTGATGGCCAGCGAAAAAAAAAACGGCAAGGAGGTGGTGCTCCCAGAACAGCACCACCTAAAATAAAGACATGTCTCGTAAACGAGATGACTTTTTTGGGGGTAGCTGGTCAAACCTCTTCTCCCTTCCCGATGGCTGGTAAAATCGGATGAACCCTTTGGAGGTGGGTGGACAAACCTCGTCCCCTTTCTTGGTGGTTGGTAAAACCGGGACGCTTGAATTATTCTGTTATTTTTATTTAAAGAATTGTTGTTTAGTTATCTCTCATTTTAGTAGCATGTTCAGCGATGCTGTTAGATTAGCTTACCATGATGCGGAGTTAGCGAATTTGATAAGTCCTCTATTAGAGGCTAGTCAATTGTATGTCTCGCTCTAGTTTAGCCTTGAGCTATTCTATTGCTTTGTCTCTTGTTACTTTCATTATTATTAATAATAATAATAATTAAGTCTTCTTCTTTAAAAAAAATTATATACATTAGATAACCAATATTCGATTTTGTGAATATCAAACGATATTAAATATCAGTCACACTTAAACAATTTTTAGATCATGTGAAGTAAATCCAAAATATAAATTTTTGTTGACATTAAATTACACAATTCATTTACTTCTTACTTTTTAACATCAATTTATTGCATAGATAATAAATTTTAACTTATTTTAGCATTAATATGCACCACATTTATGAATTAGCAATATAATATTATATTAAAAATAATAATATCATACATACTATTTGATGAAACCTATTTTCAACAATCAAACAACAACAGAATAGAGAAGAAACAGATAGATAGCTCCGATTCAATACACAAGGATGTGGAAATTTCGCACAAGGAAAGAAACGGTCGCTGCTCTCCCTCTAGAGAGAGAGAGAGATCAGCTTAGGAACCTATTCTCTATCGCTAGGCTGCCTCTGTTCTACGATGTCTAGGGTCTACGTAAGTTAGTTTCCTTTTATAGACAAGGATGCCTAACTTAGGTATTACAAAGATTCTAGTGGGCTGGAATACACTTGTGGCCCATATTACACATATAAACTAATAGCTACCAGTACAAGAAACTGTGTCTATAATGAGAGGAGAATCCGTAGTTAAAGTATACAATCCTGTCATAAAATGTTTTTAATGACGGGAGATTTACCGTCACCATTCGTCACTACTGCTTCCGCGGTTAAAGACATATAGTGGCGGGATATGTTCCTATCATTGATGAATAAATAATGAGAGTACATTTACCATCATTAAAAATGACCACTTATGATAGAGAATCATGTCATTAATACATCTAATAACTAACCAATTTTTTTTAATGAGAAAAAATATTGACATTATTACACCTATTTAATGACAAAAAATTCTCTCATTACTATTAAATCCACATGTCATCAAATGGTATACTTTAGTGACGGAAAATCCTATCATTACATAAAATTATTTTCATTGTCAAAAGTGGCTCCTTCTATGATCAATACACATATATATAACAAGTTATCATGTATTTCTTCAAGTATTGCAATAATAAAGTTTATTATCACTTAAAGGCTATATATTATATATAGTTACAGTCCAATTAAAGGGATGAGTATAATAACATTACATTTTGAAGTAGCAAAAATAATATTGACAGAGTAACGGGTACAAAATAAATGTTGCCTAATCTTAAAAGAAAACCCCAGCACACTTAGTTTAGTGGAAAAGAAAAAATGAAAAATAAATAGTCAAGATATTGCTAGAAGACTAATAAATTTTCTTTCCATAAAACCTCCCTACTTCAAATTTGCAGCTTGGTACCTATTCACCATGAACAAAAAATATTTAGTTTGATATAATCATGATTCCTAAAAAATAAACAAAAAATTCAACAATCAAATGAATGTGTTTCAAGAAACAAATATATCCCAAAGTGAAGAAGAATTATAATGTCAAGATTGCACAACTGCATTAAAACATTCGTTAAGAAAGTGTCAAAAGAACATACATGAATTGAAGCCCCATACACAGTGAATAAAAAACACAATAAAATAAAATATCAAATTTACCATAAGATGAACTTCATATGTGCTGCAAACCTATACTCTTGCATTTTAGGAATCCTATAATGTTTTAAATGGAACCATTATTAGAAAAACATTCACAAGTAAATGAAGCGGTTATATCGTCGTATAAACAAGAACAACCGTTTACCTGGTGAGGTTCACCATTTGGATTTCAAGGTTGTTGTCCTGAAGATGATTTGCCCTTCTCTATTTGGTTTAACCTATAAGAGAGTGAGAAGAGATAATTTTATTGATTGTAGAATGGTTACATATATACAGTTTATGAATAGCTAAATAAGGTAACTAAATATTTAGTATAATTACAAATGATATCTTGAATATAATCTGCAGAATATTTGGTAATAAGAACAGATTGCTTCCCTTCTATAAATCTACAGAATTAATAGTTATAAGGAAAGATTTACTTTCCTTCTACATGCCCCCTCAAGCTAGGAGTTGCAGGAGCAATCCTGAGCTTGGAACGTAAGAGCAGGAAACGACCACAAGAAAGCGGTTTAGTCAGTGCATCGGCGAGTTGATCAACAGAAGGCACATGGCGAACGCGAAGCAATCCTTTCTGAACACGCTGCCGAACAAAATGATAGTCAATGGCGAGGTGTTTCATGCGGGAGTGAAGAACAGGGTTTGCAGAGGTGTAAGTTGCACTGACATTGTCGCATAGCAGAGTTGGAGGATCGGGAATTGAGATTCGAAGCTCTGAGAGGAGGGATTGAACCCAGGCAACCTCAGCTGCGGCTGACGCTAGTGCACGATACTCGGCCTCAGTTGAAGAGCGAGCAACTGTCCTTTATTTAAATGACTTCCAAGAAAGCAAGCATGGCCCGAGAAATACCAGGTAGGCACTAGTAGAACAACGATCTGTGTGATCACCAGCCCAATCAGCATCACTGTAAGCTGATAGAGAGAGGGAGGCAGATTTTGGAAGAAAAAGACCATGCTGGATGGTACCTTTGAGATACCGTAATACTCTCTTTAGGGCAGTCCAATCATCTTCTGTGGGTGCTTGCATTCGTTGATCTAGACGATTAACAACAAAGGCTATGTCAGGACGAGTTAATTGAAGATATTGGAGAGAGCCAATCACGTGCCGGAAAAGCGAAGGATCTGTGAAGGGAGAACTGGTTGAAACCGGCTGAAATGAGGACCTCATGGGCATTGAGATAGGTTTAGCATCCTGCATTTTTGTAGCCAGTAAGATGTTATGGGTATAATGGCTCTGGCTTAAAAGAAGTCCATTAGCACAAGGGTGAATCTGAACACCAAGGAAAAAGTGTAATGAGCCCAAGTCCTTTAATTTGAATTTTGTAGCCAAAGTATGAATGGATTGTCTAATGGCAGCAGGTGAGCTTCCAGTGATAATGATATCGTCAACATATACAAGGATGTACATCAGAAGATCACCCTGATTATAGGTAAAGAGGCTAGCATCTACAAGTGACTGATGAAAACCCATAGTTAGTAAGAAGGTGCTCAAAGACTCATACCAAACACGGGGGGCGTGCTTCAGGCCATAGATAGATCGTCGTAAACGACACACATAATCAGGACAAGTTTTGTCAACAAGACCCGTAGGTTGAGCCATAAAGACCTCCTCCGAAAGCTGTCCATGAAGAAAGGCGTTGTTCACATCAAGCTGATGAATCATCCAGCCCCGAGAGAGGGCAACAGCAAGAACAATCCGGATAGTTAC